TAATATTATTTCTGATAAGTCACCTCTCAAGTTTGTTGCTGCTCTGTCTTTGCTTGATATTAATAGTTCTTTGAGAATATTTGTGATTACTTTTGATATCAGGGTTGTGCCAATACTCCTCTGCACCACATCTATTCTCCATGTAAATATTTCTTATTGCATCTAATCGGAATATTTGTGCTATTCTTGAATATGAACCCTGTGCATGTTTTACCTCTTTACCTTTGAATTCAAATTCAAATATTGGTTCCATGTTTCATGTGGAGATTATGGTATTTGCTGCAACAAAATGATTGCGACCAAAGTGCATGAATTCGCAAATAATAATTGCTCAGTGAATTTGAGCTCGATCCACTAGTAGACACCTGTGTATAATTTCTATTATTGTGCATAAAATAAAAACAATGAATTTGTGTTTTCCAATTGGAAGTGAAGCAAATGAGTACTATTAAAACTATAACCGAAATAATAAAGTTTAGATTAAGAAAAATCAATGGAGACAAACACTAAGAATTCAAGGATCCACCTAGCATCCTATTACATGGGCTTGGATTATTTTAATTCAATTAGGTTAGAGAGCCAACTTTCCTAATTGGAAAATTTAGCAATAAAGGACAAAACAATGTGTAAAGTGGATTGAACTTGGCTTGATTGAGAAATTGATTCTATTAATATGTTACAAGGAAAATTATGCGTTCATTATATTCCAAAGTCATAATGAATCATGCAAAATATACATTTGATATATCCAACAATCATAGTGAATCATAAAAACTTGTCAACGTGCAATGTTTCTAAAGATTAATCATTCCCCAACCATTCAACCATAAATCTGTGAAAAACCACATTGATAATTTCAAGCGCACATAATAGAATCTAGCCCTAGCCAGAGAATTAGCCATTCATGCTTATGGAAGAAAACCCTATAAACAAAGTGCTAATAATCATTCTAAACAAAAAAAAAAAAAAGTAAAGAGAAGAAGCTGGTGATGAACGCCATAGTTTCCTCATCCTTGCGAAACATTGCTCACTTTTTCCTTGTCTTTGCTGTTCTGTATTGGATCTCCTCTTCTCAGCCCTCTTGCGATCCCCCTTATATTTAGATAAGAAGATCTTTCCCTATATAGCAAAATGGAAAACCTTCCTGAAGATTATCCAACACAATATATATTTTCAAGAGTCAACTACTGGGAAAAGAAATGAAGTATGTCAAAAACCCAGAAGTTTAAAAGTCAGATTGCACTTAAACGCATTTCCTTTTTTCGCAGTTGAATCGATTGTGGAGTCAATTTGTGACCTTTCTTTTGCAGGTTAATCAATTATGGAATCGATCCATCTTGAGTCCTAATTCTCGTAAGCTTCCAGATTGATTATGGAATTGATTTGTCATCAATGCTAAATGATCCATAGAGCTCCATAATCGGTTAAGGAATCAATTCTTCACCATTCAAATTTCAAAAAGCTAAGAAATGAGCCAAACTTCACACATGACTTGGTCTATTAATTCTTCATCAGATATGTCTTGATCTTCTAATCTGAAGAATGCTTCATTATACTTTAGTAAGCCTGGGTCTCAATTTAAGAATAATCTTCAATTGAATCAGCTAAATAGAATTTAAATAACCATAAATCGGAACCCATAATTTAGATAAAATAGCACAAAATCCCATGGACCAACATCGATCCCCATATCTTTCTAATAAAAATGCATGTCTAGATCAAGAATAGCTCCCAATGCATTACAAATAAGGCCTAAAAAGTGCATAAATATGTCATTAATTAGCACTACTTGATTGAGGTACTTCGAAGGGAAGGGTGTTTTGGGATGTGTGCCTTCGTCAGCCGGTGCAGGAATGGGAGGTTGGTCAACTGGTGGATCTATTGGGATTGTTGTATGGGGTGCGAATTGGAGGGGAGGGGGAGGATGGTATGGTGTGGCGGGGAAAGGTGGCCAAGCATGTGTTCTCCATTTCATCTTTTTATTCTGCACTGGTAAGGGGTGTGCCTACGTGCTTCCCATGGAAGAATGTGTGGATTGTGGGTGCTCCGTCCAAAGTTGTTTTCTTTGTGTGGATGGCGGTGTTAGATAGCATCTTGACACTCAATAATCTTATTTGGTACCTTCACGTGTTGGTAAATTGGTGTTGTATGTGTTGAGGGATGCAAAATCTATTTCTCATCTCCTTCTTCATTGTCCCGTAGCATGTTAGTTGTGGGTCCTCATTTTTGCTATTTTTGGTTTGGCCCGGGTTCAGCACAGGACTGTTGTGGATGTGCTCCGTAGTTGGCTAGGGGGGCAGGTTGGTAAGCATTGCTGGAAAGCTTGATCTCTTGCACCCATGTGTCTGATGTGGCTTATTTGTTTAGAACAGAATCGAAGAATTTTCTAGGAGAGGAAGAGCCAGTGGTTCGGTTGAAGTATAGGTTCTTGGGAATTTTGTATAGTTGGGTTTTGGGGAGAGTGGATCCGGATGTGTTTTCCTTTCTAGATTTTTTTGGACTCTTTTTCTGTCTAGAGGGTGGTGATTGGGGTGTTCTCTTTTGTATTTATCTTGATGTTTTTTCTGTAATAAAATGTCTTTATGTATCAAAAAAAAATCTCTCTTGTTTTGTTTGATGATAATTCTTCCGGAGTTGCAGACTTCCACTGTCAGCTTTTATACGTGCTTCATATCAGTCATCTAGTGAATATCTTGTTATGGATGATATCAGGAGTAGAAGCATCATTCTGGTGCATTGGTCTTTTCCAACAACTTTATTGTTGAAATCAATGAAATTGTGGGGCTGTTGTGGATACCTGTGGGATCTGAAGATTCTGAGTGACTATAAATCTGTTTGTTCCTTGATTTGTTCAAAGATATTGCAAAGTGAAGTTCTTTTGTGATGAGTTAGATAATGCTTTAATGGTGACTTAGTTGACTTGATTCAAGAGCATGAGTTAAAAAATGTGATGGTTATCTGAACAAAAATTTATCAAGGTTTTAGGGTTTCAAAAGGTATGCAGATTGGTTAGATATTGGAGTTGAAGACAGTGGTGGGGTTGGAAGTAGTAGTCATGGAGGTTTGGTCAGAGAAGATGATGAAGACGAGAGATGGAAAACAATCCTTTGGGACTGTTTGGTTAGAAATATAAGAGGAAAGGCATTGTGAAATAGACTAAGGGAAATATGATATTGGAGCGGTAAAATAGTTGTCATTTTGTTGATAAATCTGATGGTGAAAGTCAGTCATTTTAGTAACCTTAGGGGAGGTATCTGTCATTTTCAATAACCTTAGGGAAGTCACTATAATTTACCATATAATAAATAATAAATTATGACTTCATATTGACGTCATTGTTTGATGTTGGTTGAACCCATGATTGACCCTGTTAGCCATGACCCAGTCTTTCTTTAGAGGCATTGCCACCTAAGAAGCACGGACATGAACACATGACAGGACACCGACAATCCGACACAAAAATTCTCAAAAATTTTTGGACACGTCACATGGGGCACATATACAAGATATATAATTTTATATATTTATTATATATCATGTATAAGGATAAATAATTATTATATGTCATGTATGATGTATATGAATATTTAATTCAAACATAATAATTTTTAAAGCCTAAAGGAGGAGAATATGTATAAATTTACATTGTTTTTTTTTTTTTTTTTGTCATTAGATTCCAAGTTATTTTATTTAAACTTGTTATGTGCTTCTTGTGTGTAAGGTGTCGCGAAATGTCTGAGTCGTGCTGTGTCGGTGTCACACCACCACCCCATCTCTCTCTCTCTCTCTCTCTCAACTTATCTATTTAAATTAACTCCACCATGAAGCCTGTATAAAATTCAACCAATCAACAATTATTATGATTCACAACTAATGGGGTGGGTTTGCTGATGGTTGTAGTGATAGAGTTGATGGGATATGCGGTGATGGTCGTTGGGGTGAAGGGGGTATAGTTAGTGGTGGGTGGTGACGATTGTGCTGCTTTGGCCATCTGTCAGCTTGAACACTTGTGCACACATGATATATGTATATAAATATATGCACAGATGCACACAGATGCACACATAGATCTAACCATTGCAATGGTAGTGTACACACATCGTTTGAGGAATTTGCATGGGGAGGTTGGTCTATTTGATTTTAGAGAGAGAATATATGGAAAGAGGTTTTGTATATGTATATATAGAGAGAGAGATGGGTGTTTACATGAGTTCAATAGATTTTTATATTGCTACATATATCCATTTTGCATAATTTATTTGTTTAATGGGTTCTTCATAATCTTTATTAAATTTTCTTAACTAAGTTTATCTTTGGTAATGATATTAAGTTTGAGATAGAGGTCAGCACAACATTCCATTGAGATAACTTATTAACTTGGGGCACTTGGATCACCATATTTAGTGTTGAAAATTGAAAAATAAATGTGTAAGGCACAAATAGTTGGTTACTTGAAAATAAATATTCCGTCAAGAGAATGATGGAATGTTTGTTCAAGAGAGAGACCTGTGTATTTGTTGAGTTCAAGAGTGAACTCAAATGAAGGTGGTTTGCAATCGACCCACTAAAACCCATGAAATACTGTTTCCCTCTAATTTTGAGTGTAGTAAGCTCTTTCTTGTTCATCAAAACTGCTCCAGGATATTATTTGGTTAGAAATATCTTTTTTACGTTATTAAGGATGATAGCAGTGCATTTGTTATTAACTGTTTGCTTTGCATTTCTTGTTCAGTTTTAATTGGTTTTGGAAAATGTTCATATATATGTGAATGTGCATCTTTTTTCTTTTTCTTTTTTATTGGGATGGATCAATGTGTGTGCATCTTTGCATGTAACCTTACATAATTTGGCAATATATGTGTCTGCCTGTGGCAGTTTGGTAACCTTGAGAAGAAAAATAAATGAAAGGTAACAGTACACAGGGTTCGGGGTGTGGAGGGACTAGGGAGAGTGATCAATAATTGTATATTTCCTTTTCACATGGAGGATATATTTTGCAGGAAAGTCAAAATGGAGCAAAATGAGACAGGATGCCAAGTTCCTCCAGATGCTCCCATGCTTTGCGTCAATAACTGCGGATTTTTTGGAAGTGCAGCAACCATGAACCTGTGTTCCAAGTGCCACAAGGACTTGATGTTGAAGCAACAACAGACTAAACTTGCTGCATCGTCTATTGGGAGTATTGCAAATGGTGGGTCCGGCAGCCCTGGGAAGGAGCCTGATTCTGCCATAACAACTGTTCATGTAGATGCTGGTTCATCAGATTCCATGATTGTTTCAATGCAAGCGTCTCATGAATCATTACTAAATGAGAATAATGTGATAGTTAAAGAAGTTCCACCAAACAGGTGCAGCGCTTGCAGGAAGCGTGTTGGCTTAACTGGTTTCAATTGCCGATGTGGTAACCTCTTCTGTGCAGTTCATCGCTACTCTGACAAACATGACTGCCCCTTCGACTATCGGTCTGCTGCTCAGGATGCTATAGCCAAAGCCAACCCTGTTGTGAAGGCTGAAAAGCTTGATAAGCTCTAGGAGAGGAGTCTTATCTTGGACTAAAAACTTCGTATCAACTGCAGTATTCTTGTTGGTCAGTTCTCTTGTTAGGTGTCCCTATAATTGGTATAATGTTTCAAGGTATGAAAGTTGGGGCATCTCTCTACCCGGAACAACTTTGTGTTCTTGTTTGTTGGCGAGGATGTATCATTTGGCTTCAGTGTGCAGCAGCAGTAGTACTTGTTTGTTTGTGCTGGTTTGATGGATATTTCAGTGGTTAGTTTTTACTTTTTACTCTTTTACTTTTCTCAACTGGTATCTGTATTTTGATAAACTTACATGTAGTCAGTTTATGCAGAATTCAAATGACATAAATCATCTATGAATGAATAGTTATTTACACCTCGTAAGCTATTATGGTTAGAAAATAAGTGGTTCAGGTCGAATCAGAACTATACTTGCTATATTTTCTTTTTTATGATTCAGATTTAGTTCTTCTTGATGGAATGGTAGTCACAATAACGATGTAGAAAAAGTGTGATTTTATTTTTTTGGGGGGTTTAAAAAAAATATATTCTCTGATGAAACAAGATTGGATTACATCTTACATAATTGTATTTTTTATTTTTTCTTTTTAACTACATTGTACTTCAAACTAATGCAATGATAAAATGATCCATTTTTGTCGGACTGGCTAGTTCTTAATGGCTGTTATGTGGTTGTCAAGAAGATACAACAAATCTTGCTTGTTTTCTATGTGAAAAATGTTTGGTAGCTCGAATTTGTGTGGTCTAAATAGTTCAAATGTATTAAAACGTTGTTTTACACCCAAAATGATATCGTTTTGAGACATTCAAGTCATTCGGGTCATGAAAATTAAGGCTTCCAAGCATTGTTGTTTCTATACATCTTTATAGCAATCAAATGAATCATGTCTGATAGATTTGAATCCAAAAGTAATTTATGGCCTATTTGGTATGGTTTTGATTTTTTTTTTAATTTTTTTAATTTATAGAGAAAAAAATAAAAATTTGTAACACTATTTTTGTAGTTTCCTTGAATTTGCACACTAGTAATGTACGGCCTTACGAATTTGCAATTTCCTTGATGCCAAAACTTGGCTGCTTGTTGGGTTGGGTACACCATGCTCAACCTCAACCTCATCCATTGTATATTTGCATTCCAAGAAGCAACTTTGGCATTTATACTTGACCAAAGATCCGACCCTTAAAAAATTTGAGAAATAAGGAACGTGAGGATGGGGATGGGAAAAATTAAAAAAAAAATAATGAAAATGGTTGGATTGACTTGTCCATTGGACTTTTTCATGGAAAATAAGTCAATTGATGGCTAAAGTGGACCTTTTTTTGTTTTGACGGAAATTGAGTTTGCCAAACAATTAAGATTTTCTTTTTTTTTTTAATTAAAAAAAAAGAGCAAAATTAACTTTTTTAAGTCAATAAGTGGCCTTTTAAGATCAGCCCAAAGAAAGTAATTTTGAATTTTACCTATATGTTTGCCTAATTATGGGAGTACACAACATTGTCTCAGTTACACATCTACCTTGTCTAAAAAACAAAGGATAAGATGGTCATGTGTCCTACAATTAGGAGCGGACGTTACAAGGAGCTTTTATTTACACACAACACTTTGTCTTAGTTCATACCATTTGTGTCGTTCGAACATTTGTGGTATGCAAATAGAACCTGCCCCACATCACGCGCCTTATGATTGAATTTACTAGATAATTTTTCCTAAAATTTGAATCTTTTGCCTCACTTTTTGTTGTAGACATGTGTGTGATGTACTTGTTAAAAGAAGACAACATTGAAGATTTGAGTGAAAAATGCAGAGATTCAAAGGACTGCATAATAAAGCAAAAATTAACATCATGTTGTGTGTCCATTAGTGATATTTTGCCACGTTGTTGAATTTTCTATAACCAATTGGGTACATGATAAATAGTAATTGGTTGGGCACATCATGCTAGTATAGATAATTAGATGGTCAAGTCTTTGAGAGTGGAGAGTGATGCCCAAGCTAACCAATTTCAAAATTGAAGTCAAACTCGATTTGGTTTGACCCTAGAGTCGATATCCTTTTCAATTTCAAATTTATCTGATTAACCACAAGGATGGCTTGTGGTGTGATGTTCTGAGAAGGAAATATTTAAACAAAACTTCTTTCCTTGATTGGAAGAAAGGGAGAAATGCCTCCCACTTATGGAGAGGCATCATGAGCACCAAAGATATCTTAAGGAAGTGTGTGAAATGAGATGTGGGTGATAGCAAATCTATGAATGCTTGGAAAGATTGGTGGTGTAGGAACAGATCTTTTGAGGAAACTATCTCCTGCACTAATCATATCAGTCAAAGTGATGCTCCTAATATTACCAATGTGAGAGAATAGTTAGGGGAAGATGGGAATTGGGATGAAAACTTTGTGATTTGTAACTTTCCCCTTCCCTTGGCTGCTCTGATTTTGAAATCACCACCTCTTGGAAATCATGATATGGACACTCCTCTATGGAAGGGGTCTCCTGATGGAACCTTTACTGTATCCTCAGTGTATAAGTTCATTTTGGGGAACAATAGAAAAGAGGAGGATTGCAATTGGGTGTGGAAATTGAGATTACCACAGAAACTTAAAGGTTTCTTGTGAACCGTGCTTCATGGCTTACCAATCAAATAAGATTGAAGATAGACTTGACTAATGACCCTCAATGTCCTGGTTATTGTGTGGTTGAGGATATTAATCACTTGTTTAGAGATTGCTACAGGGCCAAAGAAGTGTGCCTTACTATTTGTAATAAACAGTGGTACATAGACATGATGTGGAGATCTTGGATAAATTGGCTCCAAAGTAATGCTAAAAGCAAAAAAACACTTTAATGACTACCTCTCTTGGTATACTATTTTTGTTGTTGCCTTATGGAAGATATGGAAAAAACAGGAATGCTTTTGTGTTTGAAGGAAAATTTGCTAGTAACCAAGAGAGTGGTAAATTCATTTCGTGATTACTCTAGAGAAATCCATCAAGCTTTCCTCCATTCTGTACCTAACCCCAGACCTTCCTATAGACTAATCAATTGTTGTTTACCACCTACAGGAAGATTGAAGCTTAATACAGATGGCAGTAGAAAATCAGGAGGAGATGGAGGGTTTGGAGGGCTGATCCGGGATAAGAGAGGAGCTTGGGTGTGTGGCTACTTGTGATGACCAAACATATTCATGCATCATGCTTACTTAATTGTCTATGCATTCAAATCATGTATTCTATACTTGAGTAATATTAGGCTTGTTAGTATTGAGAAGGAGAAGGGATTGGAAAGTATGTATAGGACTTGTATGTTTTGTGCCTAGAGTTAGGGGATGATTTGAAACTTGACTTGAAAACTTTAGGATAAGTCTATGCCTTAAGTGAGAAGCTTAAAGACCTTAGTCTAAACAATCTTGACCATTTCATGCCATTTGCTATTTGCTAATTAGGATTAGTAATAATTAACTATGATTAGGATAAGATTAAGTTAGTTGATTTTGAACTTGATTAATTAAGCCTAAGCAAGGGAATTAAGTTAGTCAAGGGAGTTATGCCTTTGCCTTAGCCACACGAAATAAACCTTGAGTACACAAATCAAACAAAAAGGAAAATATGTTGGAAGTTGAGAGAACAAACGAGAGAGGAAGAGAAGAAAGGGACAAAAGAGAAGGAAATGAGAAAAGAGAAGTGCTCAAGAGATTCAATCAAAAATCAACCAAGAAGGGTTCTAAGGTGAGATTTCTGCCTAAAACATGTAGTAGACTCCTTTAACATCATGAATCATGAAAAAGTTAGGATGATGAACTAGGGAGAAAGCTTAGGATTCTCAATCTTTTGTATTGGTTTTCGAGGTTTTGGATGTCCTTGCACTATTCTTTTCACATGTTTTCTTGCTTTCCTATGATTTCACAAATTGATTTTGAGTTTTGGAAGTAAAATGATGAAAAACCATGAAAGTTCTCATACAAACTTGAAATATGCTTCAAACCTTGAAAATAAGTAAAGATTTGATGTATTTAATTTAGGAAACAATCATATTTGTATACTTACATGATCTTAGACTTAGCATATCATGTTTATGGATTGAAATTGTAGGAAATCAAGTTAGAAGACCTTAGAACAACATAGAACAGGACAAATTCGCGAACTGCAAAATTCTGTTCTGCAGATCACCGCTCGAGCAATTGAAAGACCACTTGAGCGGACAACCCCAAAACCTATGTGAGTCGGTTAACCGCTTGAGTGGTAAAAGTGTCACTCGAGTGCACTTTAGCAATTCCCAAAATCTAGTTTTGTAGGCCTGAACTTCTGGGAGGTATCCATTCACCACTCGAGTGATGAAATGACCACTCGAGCAGACTGGTGATTTCAGCACATTTTCACACTTTGTTCCACTTGTTTTCCTTCTTTTCTTGGGACACCTTTAGGTATGTTTTAGCACCTAAACATAAGGATAACATAATTAGAAACCCACTTGAGTTATGCTTGAATAGAAAAGAGAATTAAAGTCTAATTATATGATCAATTGACATAGGAAATGTACAAATTGTTCAAATGCTTCAATTTTTTGTTCTTGTCTTGTATAGGTCAAGCTTGAGGACGTTTAAACCCTTGTTCGTGGAGCCAAATGTGAGTAGTAGCATGGTAAATTTATGTTCTTTAAAATTATGATTCGAAATGCAAACATATGGTATATTTATGGGAGTTAATTATTGATTTGCTATGAATGAACATCATATACTTTTGTATCATGTATGAAGGATGGCATCTTGGAACTTATTTATTATTGGGAATCATACCGGTAGCCTCTTGCTATTTGAGCTCTGCTACCAGTTGTAGCTTCTTGACTCTTGATTTGAAGTGCTTTGAGAATGTTCATCATTGTATATATGTTGCAAGTGAGACTTGTTTTGCCTGAAAAGCTATCTTATGTTCAACATGATTGTGTGCTTGGTTTTAATAAAGCTTGATGGTGTTCATTCATTTACCACTTTAATATATTGCTATTCATTGAGCTTTAGCTCACCCCTCTCCCCTATATATATGTAGTTGATGTCAAGGATCCAGTTGTGGATGAGAGACCATGCTAGAAGTCTTTTTCCTTTCTTTTTCTACTTTTAGGAGTTAGAGTTTATGGACGAAGATCTTGTATATCAGCTTTTGCTTGTACTTTCCTTTTGGATGTTGAGCTTGTAAAGTTTAAAGATAATAAACAAAGTTGCTTGTTTGTATCATATAATTTATGCACAGGCTCTAAATGGACTCTTGGTAATTAATGGACAATGATGTTTTTCTACATAAGCCCCAAAGTTTAAGTCCAACCTTGTCTTGTCTTGTTAAGCCTTTGGTAGTCAGACACTACTGGCCAATC